ATAGTATCCTGCCTAAAGTAGGAGTGCAATAAAGCTTCTTGAGTCCTCCTCTCTTCTCTGCATCCTTCTACAACAAGCTGGCCCTGCTTCCTCCACCCCAAGTTATACATTCTGATTTAAGGTTCGTGGGTTCTCTTTTTCTATTTGGCCTATAGACTTAAGACCCTCCCTGGCCCCTAGTACATCAATTTCCTGGTCTGCCTGGCTAGGACATGGAGGAATCTCCTGGAAAGAAGTGGATAGGAAACAAATCCTCTCTCTTTGATTACAGGAGTGGAAGGGAGAATGAGATAAAAGCAGAGAAGGTGAAGTGCTCTAGGGGCTGAGATAGCACCAAGTTCATTCCCCCAGACCCACAATTATCTTCTTCTTTCTTTCAAATAAAATTAATATCTTACTGTATGCCACTTAGATCTTTAATGCAGAAATCCTTCTAGAGTCAGGGGACCTGGGTTCAAACCCCACCACAGGTTAATTACCTGTGTGACCTTGTGAAAGTTTCTTACTCATCCTGGTTTCTTTCCCTGGTGTTGGATTAGATGGTCTAAGGTCCCTGCCACTCCCCTAAATCCTTTCTCTCTAACACAACCCTGCTGGAACAAAAGTTCTAGGAGACAACCTCCCTGCCCTCATCCCTGCTCTGGGCAAGTCTAAAGTTCAGTATTCTGAGCAGTCAACCTCAAAGTCTCCCACCTTAATTCTGGGTTGAATGACCTAGGGGAATGTCTGATTCAAGATGATTTTCAGGAGGCTGAGTCAGCCTGTCTTCCTGTCAGGGACAGGTGAGTGTGTCACTGGTCAAAGACAGCAGAGAGGTCAATACCCTTTCCCTGCCCTGTCCCATTGCCTCCTCCCTTATAGTACGCCTGGCCCCCGGCACTCTGCTCTCTACATGGGGATTTTCCTTAGAGTCAAATCAACTTATCTGGGGACTAGTATGTACCAGGCATTGTGCTGTGAGCTGGGGAAACAAAGAAAGGCAAAAGAATTCTCCCCGCTTTCAAGAAGCTCACAGTCTAATGGGAGAGACGATATGCAAACAGTGATGTACAAGCCAGATCACTATACAGCATTACAACTAAGGGGAATCAGAAAGGCTTCCTATAGGATTTGAAGGAAACCAGGAGAAGGAGAGAATTCTAGGAATAGAGGGAACATTGAACCACTGAAAATGTCCTGGGTCATATCATGAAGTGCTTTGTTCAAGGAACAGCAAGACTGGCATCACTGGATCAGAGTATGTGGCGGGCTATAAGGCATGAGAAAGCTGGAAAAGTAGGAAGGAGCTAGGTCTCTGAATGCCAAACAGAGGATTTTACATTTGATCCTGTAGTTATGTAATAGGGAGCCTTTGGAGTTGGGGTTTGGTTTTTTTTTTGACTTTGCTTTATTTTGGGTTTTTTGGTGAGGCAATAGGGGTTAAGCGATTTGCCCAGGGTCACACAGCTAGTAATTGTCATGTGTCTGAGACTAGATTTGAACTCAGGTCGACCTGACTCCAGGGTTAGTTCTCTATCCACTATGCCACCTCACTGCCTGGCCATTGGAGTTTATCGACTAGTGGGGGAGGTGATGTGGTCAGATATCTTTGCTTTAGGAAGAACACTTTAACAGCTGTGTGAAAGATGGACTGGAGTGAGGAGAGATTTGAAATAGAACACCAGGCCATGGACTACTGCAGTAGTCAAAGCATGAAGTGATAACGGCCTGCACCAGAGTGGTGACAATGCCAGAGGAGAGAAGGGGAAGGGGGAGAGAGTAATATAGGAGAGGTGTTACAAAGGTACAATTGACAGGCCTTGGCAACTGATTAGATAGGAAGGGAGAGAAAATGAGGAGTTGACCTCATCTGTCTTATAATCTTAGGTGACTGGGAAAATAACGGTTGCCTCAATAGGGAATTTAGAAGGAAAAAGAAGAAGATATAATGGGGAAGAAAGAAAGGAGGATTTGAGAGGAAATTATAATGAGTTCTGTTTTGGGCATATCAAGTTTAAGAAGTCTATGAGACATCAAGTTCAAGATATCCAACAGGCACTTGGAGATGTGAAACTTGTTTATCCTCTCCATTCTTCTCAGTCTTACGGCCTCCATGGCTGTCTCCACCCAATTCCAAAGAATGCAGAAACTACTGATGAAAAAAAAAAAAAGTAAACCTGAACTGACTCTTCAATGGAGCAAAGGATTTTGAGAAGCACAGGTGAGAAAGGACAGCATTCATTCCAGGCAGGAAGGACTGCCTATGCAAAAGCATGGAGATGGGAAACTGAATGTCAAGTTAAGAGAAAAGCAAGTTGGCCAATTTGGTTGGAACAATGAGTGTGTGAAGGGAAGTGATAGGAAATAAGTCCATCGGAATAGGTTGGACCCATATTGTAAGAAGATTTAAAGGCCAAACAGAGGAATTTGTATTTTATCCTACTGACATAAGAAAATATGCATTTTATCATAGTGAGCCCTGAATAGTCTTAAGTACAGGAATCAGATGGTTACACTTAAGTCTTAAGAAGACTATTTTGGCAACTGGATGAAGATAGATTGGGGGAGAGTGAGACTAGAAGCAAGGAGAATAATTCGGATGTTGTGGCAGTAGTTCAGATAAGAGATTGTGAGGGCTTGAATTAGGTTCCTGGTTATAGAAGGAGAGAAAAGGGGACAGATAGTAGAGATAAACTATAAAAAGGAATTTATTTAGCAAAGAAATGGTGCATAACAGGAAGGTAACATAATCAACCAATATTTGCACACCACCTCAAACACCTTTCCCTGACCTCCAGGCAAAGAGTTTAAGTCCTTCTTCAGGAACTGAGTGAAGGAAGACAGAGGTGCTGGTGGGCAGAGGGTAGGCAGAGGTTTCTGGGGCAGTTGGTGTTAAAATAGAAGGAAAATCTAACCATAAGCAGATTTTCCATCTAGCCATCATTTCTCTCTCTAACTTGAGGGTAAGAAACACGTCAGGCTTTTTTCCCCTCTTCCCACCCTCCGAAAGCCTAAGATGTGTTCCTTGCCTTCAAGTTAGAGAGATAAATGATAGCTAGATGGAAAAATCCCCATATGGTTAGATTCTCCTTCTATTTTAATGCCAAATGCCCTAGAAAACTGCCTCCTGCCCTGTTCCCATCAGCACCTCTGTTCTCCTTCACCAGTGACGTTTCAGACAAAGTTGTGGAGTTTAGAACCCAGTATGTTTGGCCAGGGCCTCCACCTGCCCCTCTCTCCCCTTTCCAGCTTCTGTTGTCTGAGATGCAGCTCCAAAGGATGGTTTTTGAGTCATGAAGTGAGCCCTAGGTCCACTTTTTTTCCCCCAGAGAAGAAAAGAGGAGAAGAGAAGAACAGGGCCGGTAGAAGGCCCATCAATGTGTCCTTCCACCAGACTCTTGAGCAACAAGTCAAGTCAGCAAGCATTTATTAAGTACTTACTATGCACCATTGTGCTAAGCACAGGCCATACAAAGAAAGAACAAAAACAAAAACAAAAACCAAATCAGGTGCTCAAGTTGTTCATGGTCTAAGGAGGAAGAGGACGTGTAAGCAACTATGTACCAACAAGATACAGACAAGATAAGTTGGAGATAATCAGCAGATGGAAGGTACTACTAGCATTGAGAGGAATGGGCAAAGATGGCCTGTAGCACACGGAATTCTTTTTATATGTGTATGTACACACATAGACACATACATGTATGCATGTATGTACATATGTACACATGTATATACATATATGTATACACATATTTTTATTTCCCCCCCAATTACACGTTAAAACAATTTTTAACATTTTTTTTAAGTTTTGAATTCCAAATTCCACATCTATCTCCTACCCCTCCTTCTTCCCTTAGATGGTAAAAGCAATCAGATATAGGTTATGGTTGTGCAATCATGTAAAATGTTTCCACGTTAGTCATTTTGTACAAGTAGACAAATAAAAGAAAAAGAATGAAAGTGAAAAATAGCATGCTTCAATCTGTATTCAAACCATATTAGTTTCTTCTCTGGAGGTGGATAGTATGCTGCATTATGAATCCTTTGGGATTGTCTTGGATCATTGTATTGTTGAGAATAGCTGAGTCATTCACAATTCATTCACAATTCTTATCGAACAAAATTGCTGTTACTGTGTACAACATTCTCCTGGTTCTGCTCACTTCACGTGAGTCTTTCCAGGTTTTTCTGAAATCATCCTGCTCAAGCACAATAATATTCCATTACAACCATATACCACAGCTTATTCAACCATTCCCCAATTGATGGGCATCCTTTTGATTTCTAATTCTTGGTCACCACAAAAAGAGCTGCTGTAAATATTTTTGCATAGATGGGTCCTTTTCCTTTTTTTTTTTTTAAATGTTTTTGGGATATAGACCTAGCAGTGCTATTGCTGGATCAAAGGGTATGCACAGTTTTTAGCCCTGTGGGCATAAGAACATGGAATTTGAGTGGGACTTGAAGAAAGCCAGGAGGTGTAGCTGTGAGGAAGAGAGTTCCAATCCCCTGACCAGGGTCTCATGAGTGAGGTGAAAGGATTTCTGTTCACCCTAAATGCTTTGGGTTACTCTGCTGGTGAGATCAGAGTCTCCCTGACAGCTGGCCCTGAAAGGTCACCAGAGGGATAGGGTTGTTAGCCAGCATAGGATTTATCTGTGGGAGTGAGGAGGTAGGAGGCACAGGAAATCGGGGAGGAGCCAGGACCTGGGGCATTCAGCTGATCTGAGAGGATTGCATTTCTCTACGAATGAACTCTGATACCAGAACTTGGCTTGACAGGAAAGAGGGAAGGGAGGGAGTAGGCTGGGCGCAGAAACTATCAGCTCCACGTTGAAATCTCAGGAGCTCAGCCACAGCGCATCTCGAACTTCACCCTCACCCAGCCTCTTGTCAGCCAGACCACAGCAGCTGACAAGTCCGGATAATGGAGCCGAGCAGCACCCTCAGGTAAGTGAAAGCCGCTCCGGAACCTTAAGTCTCTGGAAGTTGGATTGCTAAGATTTGAGCACCCCTTCCCCCCCCCCCCCCCCCCCCCCCCCCCCCCCCGCCACCCCGCCACTAACTTCCCTCATACCTAGGCAGCCCTATTCCTACTTCCCACAGTGGGAACCTTTCCATTGAACCTATTCCCGGCACAGAAAGGGAACGAGCTAGCGGTACAGCCCAGGGAGAGATTCTGAGAAACTCCTCTGGGTCACTGCCGCTATGAAGAAGACAACCAGTGACTCAGGCTACCCCGTGGACAGTGGTTCTGCTTGACACGTTGGCCGCTCATTTGACTCTACACCTGTCTCCTTCCCCTCCCTCTTCTCTTACACAGTGAAAGCAATTAGATACAGGTTATGGTTGTGCAATCGTGTAAAACATTTCCACGTTAGTCATTTTGTACAAGAAGACTCAAATAAAAGAAAAAGAATGAAAGTGAAAACTAGCATGCTTCAGTCTGTCAAGGAGTAATTTTCTCTGGGTCATTTGGTCACCCCAGACCAGACCAGAGCAGACCCGGGTGGTGAGAAGAGGATGGAATTGAGTCACTGGCACGTAGGAGGGCCAGGCTTCCCCGGAGAGCAATGACAGTCGCAGACAGCAGCCACAGAATCATCGCCGGAGGTGGAGGAAGCTTCAGAGACCACCAAGCCTCGCTTTACAGAGGAGAATGCTGGGCCGTGGAGGAGAAGTGACTTGCCTAGGGTCACGCTGGTAGTGAGCGTCGGAGGCAAAATTCCAAGTGTGATTTCAACTATATCAGGGCAGCAACTGGTGGTGCAGTGGATAGAATGCTGCCTAGAGTCAGGAAGACCTGAGTTCGAATCCAGCTCGGGACACTTACTAGCTGCAAAGCCTTGGGCAAGTCACTTGAAACCTCTGTCTGCTTCAGTTTTCTCAACTGTAAAACAAGGATAATCAAATGAGCTAATACAGGTGAAGATACTTTAGCACTGTGCCTGACACATAGTAGGCACTACATAAATGCTTATTCTCTTCTCTTTACCCTCCTCCCACCCCATGCCAAGCCTTGCCCTCAGAGTATGATAGGTTTTTCAGAGTCAAGGGATCTCTGCAGAAGTGAGAGAAATTGAGAACAAAAATGAGATTAGCCCTCAGAGGCAGTGCCACATAGGGAAAAGAACACTGGGTTAGGAGCCAAAGACCTGAGTTCAAATCCTAACTCTGCTCCACCATAGGCTTCAGGCAAGTCATTTCACTTTTCTGGGCCTCAGTTTCTTTACCTGTAAAATGGAAGGGCTGATTCTAGAGGATCTCTGACGTCGCTTCTAGATCTGAATCTTACAAACAATTAGAGAATCCAGTCCACAACAGTTGGAGAACACAGTGCCTAGAGAGAACGTTTGGTAATTCAGGGAGTGAGCCCCATCTCCATAAAGTCCCTCTGTCACCACCGTGATTCTGAACACTGAAGCTAATGAGATGTCTTTCTCCCATAGGCTTCCACCCGGTCTTTTTGAGGTGCTGACAATCAACTACAGTGTTTCAGTAGAATGCCTTTCTCATCCTCCCACGGCAGCCCAGCTCCTAAATAGTGAGTCAGACAATCTGAAGGGGGTATAGGGGTGAGGGGGAATTATGAAGAAAAAGCCCCGTACAGGTTCCCAATTATACAGTCTTATAAAGTTGGTGTGGTTTGTCCTCTGTTCTCAGAAGAGGACCAGGACATCAGGAAGATGATGTCTTGACTTGCAAGTGAATTGGATTGAAGTGAGGCAGGGCTGTGCAAGGTCACCAGCCTCACTTTCTCCTCTGGAGCCATCTGGGTCCAGTGGCAAGATATAGAACAGGATGACTGGAGATGGCCCAGCGCCTTGTAAAGTATATACCCTTGGAAGGTATAAAATGGCCTTCATTTACTTACTGGAGAGTTCAAAAAATTAACGGGAAAATCCAGCCTTGTAAACTTCTCTAGGAACTATAAGTGGGATACTGATCGTAAGCTTTTATATGGTGAATGTAGCTCATTTTGGGATTTTATTTTGCTTGATTTTATTGCTCTAAGTGTCCTTAAATCTACAATCCTCCATTATGGTCCTGCTCCAAAACCTCATCACCCTGAGCCCAATGAACTCCACTGGCTCCCTATCACCTCCAGGACCAAATAAAAAATCCTCTCCTTGGCTTTCAAAGTCCTTCATAATCTGCCCCCCTCCGACTTTTCCAGTCTACTTATACCTTACACCTCGCCAGTCCTGCTCCACCACCCACGTTGTGTGCTATCCAGTGGCACTGGCTTCCTCGCTGTTCCCAGAACAAGACCCTCTGCATCTCTCAGCTCCAGGCATTTTCCCTGGCTGTCCTACCTGCAATGCGCTCCCTCTTCATCTCCACCTCCTGGCTTCTCCTGGCTTCCTTCAGATCTCAGCTAAAATTCTCTTCTCCAAGAAGCCTTTCTTGATTCCCCTTAATTCTCTCTGTTGATTAGCTCAGTTTATCCTGTCTATATCTTGTTTGTTTGTACATAGGCATGTACATGTTATCTCTCTCGTTAGATGGTAAGCTCCTCGAGAGCAGAGATTGTCTTTTACCTTTCTTTGGATCGCCAATGCTTAGCACAGTGCTTAATAAGCATCCCAGTGGGTGCTTAATAAATGTTTACTGACTGTGACAAAAACAAAACAAAATAAAAACAAACCAAGCTTTGGCAAGTAGGGTCTACAAACCTAGAAGGACTTTGGTGAGATTTTATTTTATTTTTTAGGGGGAGGCAATAGGGGTTAAATGATTTGCCAAGGGTCACACAACTAGTAAGTGCCTGAGGCCGGATTTGAACGCAGATCCTCCTGACTCCAGGGCCAACACTCTATCTGCTGCACCACCCAGCTGCCCTCTAGAAGGACTTTGGATCTGAGCCCAACAATGGGCTCTCTGCTTGTCATCAGAAGACCAGACTAAATTTGGAGAGGTTCATTAATTAGCAGGTAGTGATTTTTTTCCTTACATCAACTCATGAAGAACCTTTACTAAAGTGTAAACTCTTTTCTATAGAGAGTTTTGGATACGAATCAATAAAGGGAGTGTCCACACTAATGAATTCACCAATTTTTTTTAAGTATTGAAAGATATCTATGATGAACTGATTTTTACAGCATTATAATGATTTTTCTCAATAGCCTTTCTATTATTTCATAGTATTATTCAACAGACATTTATTAAGCCCTTCTATGCGTACATCTTTATATACTGTGACCACAGAAAGGTACTTGTAGTAGAGGGCTGGCCCTAGACTAAGAAAGATCTGGGTTCAAGTTCTGAGTCTGACACATACTAGCTATATGACTCCAGGTAAGTCATTTAATCTCTCTGTGCCCAAGCCAAACATCTAAGGCCATAAGGTAGAAGTGAGTGGTTTCCAAACCAGGAATTGGGGTGGGGAGGAGGAGAGAGAGACAGAGAGATAGAGACAGATAAAGTCAGAGAGAAAGACAAAGAGAGATACAGAGACACAGAAAGATAGAAAGAGGGAGAGGGATAAAAGGAAAAGAAGAGAGGGAGGAGGGAGACGGAAAGAGAGAAAGCAGAAAAAAGAAAAAGGAAAAGAGATGAAGAGATAAAGAAAGACAGAGGCAGAGAGAGAGATTGCTGGGGTAAGTAATCATATCATTGATTTGCTCCTAGATAGATTTGAAACTAGATGGATTTGAAATTTGGGGGTAAAAAGTAGCTGTTTCCAGATGTCACAAAACTGCAAGCTAAGGGAAAATTCTGTGGGGGCATCTGATCAGAACTCTGTGGGTCACCTGTCTCCCCTACCATTGTCAGCTGCTTGAATTGCTCTACTGCCTTCTCCTGTAGGTATCCCAGCGGACAGCTGAGTTCCATGTCTGTCTACAAACTTTCTCTTCTTTTAGCACTTTTGGGCAGATTTAAATCCAACAGCTGGATTGTGCCATGCTATGGATCAAACTAGAATTCAATTAAGCAATGCTAGATCACAATGAAGGATTAGTAAATATGAGTAGGATAACTAATTGTCCCTAGGCGTCTGGTTTCAATGTAAACTTGCCCTTTATGCCTATCTACTACATATATAGTATAGAATTTTGTGTTAACTGAACATTTGAGTTGAGAAACATGATCATCTCAGCCATCAGTGGCAGTCTCGGTGTCTGTCTTGCTTTATTTACTGTTTTTCTTTGTTGCAAGATTGGGTTCTATGGGGTGAAGGGAAAGGCAGGGAATTACTGTGAAATGATGGTAATTCACAAAACAAAAAATATTCATACAACTTTAGGGAAAAAAACCATACCAATCCCTTTTCTCTCATGAACTAATGATGACATCATCCCTGCCCTCAAGGAGCTCCCAGTTTAATTGGAGAGAGAAGTTACACCGGCATTGGACAGTTAATCATTTATTATTTTGTATTTCAATGCAAGTGCCCAAATGGGTGGTACAGATATTAAAAGGATCTCAGAGAAGGGAGAGATCAGTGTGCTTGGGCAAAGCTTCATAGTTGAGATGGAATAAAAACTGAGCCCTAAAAAGAACAGTGGAGAGCCTTGAAAAACAGAGATGTTTTGACTTTATTCCTTAGACAATTGGGAATCATTGAAAGTTGCTGAGGGTGGCAGGATAGAAGGGGTAAGTTGGAATGATTTATCAGTGCACACACTAATAAATGAATATAGGAATGAATTGATAGGAATGGATGGGAAGAGATAGAGAATAGAAACAAAGAAGCAAATTAAAGGTTATTATACTAATCCAAAAGTAAGGTAATGAGGCCCTGGATTAAGGTAGAGATAATGAGAATAAAAAGAAAGGCCCAGACTTAAGCAACATTATGAAGGAAGAATCAATAAGATTTGGTAACTGACTGTATATAGGAAATTATAGTCAGAACTCAAAGGTGACTCTAAAATTGAGTGCCTGAGACAATGGTGCTTCCACGAACTGGGATTGTTTTGGAGGTTGTTGCAAAACATCTTTACATCTGTATTAATAAACTCTGCTAAATTTTAACTCTAAATTTTGGTCAAACATAGTTTATTCCTAAAGAGGCCATTAGCCCTTTAACAAAATAATTTTTAGCATAAGCTGAGATTTTTCTTAAAAAATCATAAAAATTACTGTTTGCTAAGGGAACATTAAATGAAATATTTCTGGGCTTAAAACATATTGAACCAAATACGCAAAGGGATTTGTGATCAGAACAATTTGGGAGTTTCTTCCAGTGACATAGAGTGAAACCTATTCATGCTTGCTCATCCTAGGTGACTCTTATCTTGCCATGAGTTCTCCACAGGTGGACTGTGGGGGAAAAGGGAGAAGAAGGAGAGGGTCCATCCAATGTGTTGAAGTCCTTCCTTGTTTTCGCCTAATATCACAAAACAGAATGCTCTGTCCACTTGTAATCCCTTGCCTTCAACCATGAGACCAGCCCATCTTCTCTTCCTATCATGCAATTGATGACGTTTTTGCTCCTATTTTCTTTGGAGTTTCTCATTAGTTAAATGTCAGAGCATGCTTATACCCACCATATGCACCTCTCCTTTGTCACCTGTTATTATTCCTTTTCAATTCTTCTGATACTATTGTGTGCTACATCTTGCATCAGCAGTAGAATGTTGGCAGTAAAATGACGGGCCTTTACTTTCATGGGAAGCTTACGACCACTGAAGAAACTTTGTAATTTCCTGAAGGTAATCCAGCCCACTTTCCTGTTCCTGTTAAACTTTGGGCCCAACTCATTGTCCATACGTACTCTCTGTCCTTATTGATGGATAAGCTCTATATAAATGTGCATATATATGCATGTTCTAATCTGGGCAAGAGACATTCATCATCCATTTGTTTTTCCTGATCAAAATATATTGATGGAAATACTGGTCTAGGGGACCTGAAAGTATGGAAAACCCCAGCGATAGGGATAGGGTGAAGGTTGGTGATGTTTTGGTACAAAAGAGAGGAAATTAAGCCATTTTTAAAATAAAAAATACCATAGATAATTTTAGACATAATTTCATTTTTAATATTTTAGGAGGAAATTATTTATAACACTGACTTTTTCATGGAACCTCTCTTCATATAGCACAGAACATCAGAATTCCATGAAACACGGTTTGGGGAATGCTGGTTTAGAGCACACTGTATCTAGTATTGACTAGAAGGGAGGGAAGGGATTATTAGGGAAGATTTACTGATCTGACTGAGAAAAGGGGCAAGTATGATGTTTGATGTAGACCAGCAATATCTTACTAGATTATTAGGCAGCTCTTGCCTTTTTCTGTTTAAGCAAAAGAAGCAGGCCTAGGTTTCCCTCATGCCTAAGAAAACATCATTCGACCCATGTTCCTGGACCTTAATGTCCCTTCTACTTCTGGATCTCTGGTCTATAAACTTGTATCTCTCTTTCTTTTCCCAGCCAAAATCTAAGAAATAGCTGCGTACACTTGCTGTCTCCAATCACTTCTCAACCCCTCACCATCTGATATCTGATCTCATTACTAAGCTCAATCTTGTTTCTCCAAAGTGCCAATGATCTCTTCATTACCAACTCAAATGACTGATAAGGAGTAGGTAACTAGGACAAGAACTAGAAGACAATAATGTCCCAAAATCTTACAGAGAGTATCAAGGAGAAGACGACAATTGACAGTATCAAAGGCTGCAGAGAGCTCAAGAAAGATGAGGACTGAGAAATGTCATTGGATTTAGCAATGAAAAGATCATCGGTAACTATGGAGAGAGCAGTGTCAGTGGAACGATGAGCCAGAAAGCTAAGTGAGAGAACAAAAAGTGGAGGCACCAATTGAAGATGACCTTTTCAGTTCTCAAGAAGTTTAGCCACAAAGGGCAGAAGAGATATAGGATGATGGTTAGCAGGGACGGAAAGATCAAGGGAGGGCTTTTTGAAAATCTAGGAGATATGGATATGCTCGTAGGCAGTAGGGAAACAGGGAGAGATAGAAGCTAAGGGAGATGACAGAGGAGGAAACGTGCTAGAGGACACAGGATGGAATGAGACCACTTTTGTAGGCAGAAAGGTTTGCCTTGGCAAGGAGAAGAACCACTTCTTTGTGTGGGAGAGGGATGAGGGAAGAGATAATGGCAGAAAGCATCTGAGTGATATGAGAAGGGAGAGAGAAGAGAGAGCTCTTGGTGAGTGGTCTTCATTTTTTTCTGTAAAAAGGAGGCAAGGGCAGATACGTGGCGCAGTGGATAGAGCACCGGTCCTGGATTCAGGAGGACCTAAGTTCAAATCCAGCCTCCGACACATAACACTTACTAGCTGTGTGACCCTGGGCAAGTCACTTAACCCCACTGCCTAGCCAAAAAAAAAAAAAGAAGACAAGGTTCTCAGCTGAGAAGGTGGTATGAGGGAAAACCATAAGATGTTTGAGCAGGGCTAAAAAGGTTTGGAAGATCCATTGTAGAAAATGGGATAATGAGTTGATAAGGGAGATGTAGAAGGACTGACTAGTATTGGTAAGGGTCCAGTTGAGGTTGTGTAAGATAAATTTGTGGTGGACCCTGTCAGAATAGTTGCATAATTTTTCCACCTTTGTTCAGCAGCACATGTATAGGAGCAAAGGTGGTGGCTGTTGGGAGCGATCCAAAGCTTAGGCTTGACAGGAAACAATCAACAAAACAATAAGGGGGCTGAAGACTCAAGAGAGAAGGATAGCGTGGAGTTGAACAAGTTTACCAGAGGTGGGGAAAGGAGGAGAGTATACCTAATGCAGAGAACTGAGAGGCAGAGGAATCGGCCATCATAGTATGTCTCAGGAAGGCAGAGGGAGAGAAGGAAAGTCTGTGATCAGAAAAGGGAATTTCAGAGTTCTTGAACATGGAGATGCTGCATCTGTGTGTGATGGCAAGATCATGGCATGACCATCTTTGTTTCAACTTTGTGGGGCAAGGTCAGAGATCTTGAAAGACTGGACTTTGAAAGAGAAAAAAGGAAAAACCCTGCATCTCCCCAAATAATTGGTTATTTAATATAAGAGAAAAACAGTCATTTCTCTCACTTTGAATGTCAAACAGAAATTTTTGTTTGGTCCTGGAAGTGATAAGGAGCCACTGAAGTCTACTGAACAGAGAAGGGAGATGGAGGTGGTGGTGACATGGTTAGACCTATACTTTAGGAAAATCATTTTGGCAACTGAATAAAGCATGGATTGGAGAGCAGAGAGAGACTTGAGGCAGGCTGACCCACCAGCAGGTTATTGGAATAATCCAAGTGTGAGGTGATGAAGGCTTGCACCAGAGTGGTGGCAGTGTCAGAGGAGAGAAGGGGGCTTATCTGAGAGATGCTGCAAAGGTGAAACCAAAAGGCCCTGGAAACAGGTTGGATACGGGAGATGAGAGAGTGAGGAGTCAAAGATGACACCCAAGTTTTGAGGCTGAAGGACTAGGAGTATGGTGTTGCTCTCAAAAGAAATGGGAAGTTTGGAAAGGGGATGGGTTTGGGACAAAAGACAGTGAGTGTGGGTTTTGGATATAATGAGTTTCACATCTCTACCGGACATCCAGCTCAGGATTTCTGAAAGGTGGGTGGAGATCAGCAGAGAGGTTGGGACAAGACTGGTAGATTTGAGAATCATTAGCGTAGAGATGATAATTACATCCCCGGGAGCTGATGGAGAAGAGAAGAGAGCCAAGGACACAGCCATGAGGGACATCTATAGGTTAAAGTGTGTGACCTGGATGACCATCCAGCAATAGAGACTAAAAGGAATGGTTTGATAGGGAGGAGGAGGGCGAGGACCAGAAGAGAGCTGTGTCTTGAATACCTGGAGAGAAGAGTACCACGAAGAAGAAGGTGACTGACAATGTCCAAGGCCATAGAGAGCTCAAGAAGGATAAGGACTGAGAAAAGGTCATCGGATTTGACAATTAAGAGATCATTGGAAAGAACAGTTTTAGCAGAATAAGGTCAGAAGCCAGATTGTAAGGAATCAAGAAAAGACAGTGGAGGCACCTATCCTAGGCAGCTTTTTCTGAGGAATCTAGTCATAAAAGACAGAAGAGATAAAAGGCTTCTTAAGGCTTAGAGCTTACCTAGGTGTCTCCCATTCACTAGGGCAGTGGTTCATTTCTCGGACTTGAACCCTAGACTTTATAGGAAACATACTGACAAATATTTAAAACATAAAACAGTAGCCCATATCTCCTATTACTAATACTCCTATTACTATTAGGTCTTGATTAGTGTGAACAATGAATTCCATTAAGCAGTCTCCTTATGCAAATTTACACTGCATATTTCCATTGGGCTGGAAACTAGTACCATAGCTGACATAATTGCGCCTGTGAAGCATGTGAATTGAAAATATGTGACCACTTCCTGGGATTCGTTATTCACACTTATCTGGACCTAGCTGTAGAGTCTCCTGGGATGCAGAAACTCCAAGGGAGAACTGTAAAACTGCTGAATAGGCTCTGTTAATTACTTACATTGTGAGACCTTGTCGTTCAGGCCTTTTTCAGTTATGTCTGACTCTTCGTGACCCCAACTGGAGTTTTCTTGGGGCAAAGATACTGGAGTGGTTTGCCATTTCCTTCTCCAGCTCATTTTACAGATGAGGAAACTGAGGAAAACAGAGTTAAGTGACTAGCCCAGGGTCCCACAGCTAGTATGTGTCTGAGGCCAGATTTGAACTCGGGAAGATAAGTCTTCCTGACTCCAGGCCTGGCACTCTATCCACTGCATCACCCAGCTAACCTTTGTGACATCTAGTAAGGCACTAAAATGTCCCTAGTGGTACTGCTTTCCATAATGATTCTCAAGGTTGTTTTGAGGATCAGATTAAACAATCTATGTAAATAAAGTACTTTCTAAATGGCAAAGTAGTTCACAAATGTAAGCCATACTTACCTGCTGCTATTATTATTCCACCCCAGAGCTGAACTCTGTGGAGCTGGCTGTCATAGTGATCCTGACCCTGTTCACTGTGGGCTCTGTCATCATGTACGTGGAGGACACCATTTACCTGTACAAGAATACACGATGCCCCATCAAAAGGAAGACCCTGATGTGGAGCAGTTCTGCTCCAACGGTGAGAGAACCACCAAACCGGAGGGGGGGCAGGCAGCTATGTGGAGCAGTGGATAGAACACTGGCCCTGGAGTCAGGAGGACCTGAGTTCAAATCGGGCCTCAGACACTTGACACTTACTAGCTGTGTGACCCTGGGCAAGTCACTTAATCCCATTGCCTAGCCAAAAACAAACTGGGTGGTGTGGGGAGCAGGGCAGGAGAAGGACCAGCAATGGTGCAGCCATCAAACTCAGCCATTCAAGTCTCTGAGAAGTTCTCTAGAGGGCAGGAAGAATTCCATTCAGTTCATTTCTTCCAACAAAGAATTATGAAATGCTTACTTTGTGGAAGGCATTGTATTTTGTGAGACTCAAAAACTAGTCTCAGCCCTCAAGGATCTCACATGTCACTGCTTCAGACACTTATCAGCTGTGTGACCCTGGACAAATCACTTCACCTTTGTTTTCCTCAGTTTTCTCATCTGCAAAATGGGGATAATGATAGTATCTACCTCCCAGGGTTGCTATGAGGATCAAATGAGATGGCATTTGTAAAGCACTTTGCAAACCTTAAAGCTCTACATAAATCCTAGCTATCATCATTATTATTATTATTTACTATTCTATAAAGCAGATCAATAAAAATTGGAGATGGCAGAAAGCACTAGCAACTAGGGGGCTTAAGAAAAGCTTCATGGAGTCAGTGACACCTGAGCTAAGCCTTTGAAGAAAGGTAAGATGAGGAGGGATGCGAGACCAGAGAACATGGAATGTCAAGATTAGGGGGGAAAAGGATTAGACCATTTAAACTGGGAGGCAAAGTGCATAAAGAAGAGTAGTGTGAGATAAGACTAGAGAGGTAGATGAGAGTCATATGTAGAGCCCTTACAGTTTAAACATTCAGCTAACAAGTTTTTATTTTACCCTAAAGACTACAGAGGACAAGTACAAATCTTTTGAGCAAGAGTGATTGGACCTGTGTCTTGAGTCAGGGAAACCAATTAGAAGACTATTTCAATAGTCCAGGAAAGAGATGATCAGGACCTGAACTAGGATGGTGACCATGTGAACAGACAGGAGATATATGGGAGGGAGAGAGAGGTAGAATTTATAGATGTTCTGAGGTTATGGACCTGGGAGATCAGAAGGACAGAGGTGCCACCAATAGAATAGGGATTTCTTGATTGTTGTCCTTTCTCCAAGAGGACCAAAATAAGCTCAGAAGGCTCTACCACCGATCAGGCACAAATAGTCCATATGAACATTTGAACACATGAAATTTGGGGATTCGGGGGCAAAAATGAGTTGCATTCTGGCTATGTTGTTTGAGCATAAGACATCTCAATGGAACGTCTAAGTTGGAATGTTCAACAGGCTATGGGAATGGAGTTCAAAAGGGACATTACGAGTGTAGATACATTTATAGATTTGAAAACCACCTGCATAGAGATAACTGAATTCTTTGGAAGTGTTGAGGTCACCAAGGGAGAGAATATGGGATAAGAAGAGAAGAAGCCCATGGCAGACCCTTGAGGGACATCCACATTCAAGGGGTAGGATATAAATAATGATCCAACAAAGGAGAACAGTTGCAGGAAAGCAAGGGGAGAGAAAGCTAAGCTGATCATAAGATTGTAAGGGGTGGGTGGGGGGAGAGACAGAGACAGGGACAGAGAGAGGAAGGAAAGGGAGAGAGGGAGGGAGGAAGAGAAGGAGGGAGGTAGAGAGGGAGGGAGGGAAAAAGAAAAAAAGAAAGGAGGGAGGGAGGAGGAAGGAAGGAAATGCATTTATTAAGACTTTATAAGCCAAGTACTGTGCTAGGCACTGAGGATCCAATACAAAAGTGAGACAAATTCTGCCCTCAAGGAGCTTACAGGATAAAGCCTAAACTTGGAGTCAAAGAGATCTGAATTCAAATCCTGCCTGCCAGGAAAGGCATTTTGGATCTAGAAAACCACAGGGATGCTATGTGGAGCCAGAAACAATGCTAGCATTGACTACTGTACCCAGACCAGAGCAAGAGGTAGAAAATGGGATGGTGGCAAGAGAAAGGAAGTATACGAGGCAGCAGCAGGGCAGATGGCAACATGTCACGCAGAGGTCCGGGGCTGGCTAGGTATAGTAGCTTGGTTGAGTTTTTACTCACTCCCTAAATCTGTACAGCTCTGGACTCAGGACAGAATTCCAAAACTGAGTAGATTAATTCTCCCTGGAGAATTCTGACCTGGAGGGTACTACTTTTAGGTAAAGAGGGAGAGGAGTACAGCAAAGCAATTCATGGCATTATCCAGAAATCCAAATCCCATTCTTGGATATCTGTCTTGTAATCACTTTTTCACTTTTTTCCAATCCTCTTCTGGAGTCCCAACCTTCAAACAGTATCAGTTTTTCCAAAACTAAAAATAAAATATTTAAAAACCTCCTTCATCCCTAAAGTATTAAATTCCTTGCCCTTCAGAATTCTCAGTAATGTTTTCTTTGAGTTGAGGCAGCTCACCATCATATGGCCTCAATCTTAAGTACAGTGGATGAGACCTGTTAAGAATGAGGGGGAAGGACAGATTTGGGGATTGAAGGGAGATGGTTTAGAACAACTACTGGAGAGATTGTTACGTAGAACAACCTACCATTTTTATAGCTGAGGAAACTGAGGCCCACAGAGAAAAAATGGCACATGTATTATGCTTAAAGTGCCAGTGGGGCATCCAAGCAGAGAGAAATACAAGCCTGGAATTGGGAAGACATTAGGGGTGGAGGATTTGGGAGTGAGCTGCATAAATGTGTCCACTGAAGTCATGGCATTGTCTTTTGGGGTCAAGCCAATGATAGACCAACCAGTCATTCTGCCCTAGTTTACACCATACCCACCCAAGAAATTGGACTTTGGGGCTGTAGGGGATGACGAGATGCTTCGTCCAGGAGTGAGGCATTCTCCCTCTCCCAACTGATTGTCTCTGATTCTTTCCAAGCAGGTAGTGTCTATTTTTTGCTGCTGTGGGCTCTGGATCCCCCGCGCCCTGATGTTTGTGGAGATGGCTGTCACCACGTAAGCATCCTAGCACCCCTCTAGGGTCTGGCTTCTCCTACCAACACAGGCTGAGGACAGCTCAGACTTGGGACTCTGCTCCTCCCCATTTGGCTTTGAAGCAGCCACAGCTTCTGCTTTTCTCCCTGTATTTGTAACCTCTCCCCAACATGGGGCTGACCAAAGAGGACCACTGCCCCCAACCCCATTATAGATGCTTCTGATCAGAAGATGAGCACTTCTCAAACTGTGGTTATTCAGCTCTTCTGAAGCCCAGAGTTCTTGTTAAGAACTACCCTTATCTTCCTTATCAAGAAGCATTCCTTCTCCTGTTTCTAGAATCGACATCTCCTTTTCCACTGTCCCCCAATCCCGTTCTGTCATCTCCCTCTGTTACACACACAAGATCAGTCCCTGCTGCCTTCCCCCTTCAGCAAGCAACATCTAAGACCAAACTCCCACCTCATCTCTTTCCTACTTCACATTTTCCCTTGCCCAGGCAACAAATCTATTCCTTCCTAGGACAGCTAACCCCCTCCTTCCCTTCCTCTCTGTCCTCAGGTATTTTGCCATTTGCTTTTACTTGATAATGATGGTCATGGTGGAAGGCTTTGGTGGGAAGGAAGCAGTGCTGAGGACTCTGAAGGACACCCCAATGATAGTCCACACTGGCCCCTGCTGCTGCTGCTGCCTCTGCTGTCCCCGCTTCACCCTTACCAAGTATGGAAGGGGTAGAGAGAGAGACAGAGAGGGAGAGGAGATGAAGAGGGAGAGAAAAAGGGGGGAGGGAGGGGGGGAGAGAAAGAGAGAGAGAGAGAGAGAGAGAGAGAGAGAGAGAGAGAGAGAGAG